TGAAAAAGATTTAACAAAAATAATTATGCTAAAATCATTTCTATTGGTCCCACTATATATTGATTCACTTTTTCTCATAGCGTTTCCTTTGAATTATACGATATTTGATATTCAAATTTCTTTAATTATCATCAGTGTTATTAATTTAATTTTAACTTTAAAATAAAAACAGTTTTAAATTATAAATTAGGAAACACTGTAATCCTGTTCTTTTTTTTATAGCTAGAGACGTATCTGTAAGTCGAAAGCATAATAAAAATAATTGTCGAGAGGGAGCATAATAATTTAAGTTTTCATATTAGAGGTAATAAATTTTTAGAGAATTATAAAATTTCTAAATAATATAGACATTTTATATTTTTATCAAATAAGTCATATTCTTTACACTGTCGTTATCTATATGTTGATACTTAATACTTCTCAATTTTATTATACACCTATCCCAACATATGTAAAATAAAATGTTAAAGGGTCAAGATTTTGGTGTAGATATCAAAAATGAAAATATAAGCAATATAAGGCCTCATCAAAATAATATAACCAACAAAATTTGCCCACACACCAATCCTAATTTAAATATACTTGAGAATAGTAAATCTCCATCAAATTTGAAACATTTATTTGAATTAGATGGGTACTTAAAATCTTATGAAAAAGAGATATGTAGGAGGTTGGTATTCATTTATTAAAATTATCCACAATTAATTTTAGATATGAAGTCTTTAGTAATACACTATCAAAAATTGATCAGGTTGAGGGTTCATTGGATAAATTTTCAAGAGGTTATCAAGAATATGGCATTCAAGTGACACCTGAGAATGGTATCAGATGTCTGGAATGGGCACCTGGGGCTAAGGCTTTATATTTAAGAGGAGATTTTAGTAAATATAAATTATTTATTGTTTTATTCTCAATTAATTATATTTTTATTTATAAATAAATTACTTTGGACATATTTTATTTATTTATAATAAAATATATGCCATAAGTATGAGCTATTAATAACTATATAATATCGTCAAGCATATTTGAACATTTGTTAAGATTGGATTATGATACTGAGTATAAATTGGGAAAAGCTCAATTTGGGTGAATTTTTAAAAATGGCCCAATTAAGTTTTTTAGCTAAATAATATTATCTAAGCCTGGAGGTTTTGCTCATAGGTGACAGAAATGTTTTGATTTTTATTTGCCAAATCTCAAGGTTACAGAATATTATTTTGACTAAAAATTTTAATTGGGCCATTTTTAAAAATTTACCCAAATAAGGCATAATATTTAATTATTGTTAAGTACAACATTGATTGTCAATCACCAACTTGTATTAAAAATGAACGTTTGTAGATTATAATTTAAGAATTTATATATCTATTGTTTTTTACTTTCTCATATAATTTTAGTTACATTGTGTTATATTTCCAACATATAGTGTCCTTTTCCAATAACTTTAAAAAAAACACTAGTATATTTTTTTATATTTAGATTATTTATTTGGCTTAAAAGAAATTATAATTATTATATACAAATTTTCTATTTATTTATTTTATCTCTAGACAAAAAATAAAATTTTACAAAAATAAAAGTTTTTTATAATAATTTTTTATCTATTTTTAACAATTGATGAAAATTTTGGTTAGATAAACAATAGTGCTTAGTGCTCAACACAGCCTTCACTGTGCTAAACACACTTTCAACTAGTGCAGAGAAAGGTAGGGCTATTTCATAAATAAAAATTTTAATTGAGAGGGAATTTATTAAATATTTAAAGAATAATTTTTTATTTCATAAAAAATTTTTAGATCATTGACACAAGAATTTTTATTAAGATTCTTGTCGATTTTTTTAAAATACTTTATCAGAATTTAATCTGGCAAATTGTGTTATTTAAAGAAACCAAATCTGAGTTTTGTTTGTATTTGTCAAATTCTTTTCTCACACTGAAAACAAGACTTATGCCTTTAATTTTCTTTGTTGGGTAAAAAAAATGTTTCTTTGACCAGGGCAGAGTTAAAAATCCTCATCTGAAAAGAAAAAAGTATTATTGACATTAATTCTTTATAAAATAAAAAATACATTAATTCTTTATAAAATAAAAAAATTTATAATAAAGAATATGAATTCACATATCTTGGTATTCAATATTAATTAGATTAACAATCTTGAATGTATAAAATTCAACAAAAATGTAATATAAAATAAAAATGAAGAACCTTGATCTGAAATTACAGCTTAAATTATTTATGAAATTTTTTTAAAAAAATTTTTTTTATTCCATTAAGGAAAAATTTAAAGTAACGTTTTGCGACACCATTACTCAAAAAATAGAAGCCCTTTACTGGTTAATTCTTATCTTTTGAAACACGTAACAGATGGCGTTCTTTTTTCTTAAGAAAAGTAACGCCGTTAATTGACGTTACTTTACACCACTTGAAATTTAGTATATTTATAAAATAATGTCAAAACTTATTTAGTTTTAATGCTTCAGAAAATATTGACAATTGTTAAATATAAAGATATGGCAACTCAATTTTAGAACAAGTGGTCTGGTCACTTTATTATATTTTTTTAGTTGAGTAATTCAATAACAATTATGATCAATCTTTATTTTATTTTTTGTTTGAGGATGGCTACAATGTGGTTGGATTGTATAAATTGCATAGATGAGCCAACACCCCATTCCCCCTTTTTAGTCGATTAAAATTTATACAGTATCATTATTTGTTAAAATTTAAAGTATCGTCGATACATTTAATATAATTAAATATTTTCATTAATAAAAGAACTTCCAAAACTGATTTATTTTTCATAATCGATAATATATTTAAGGAGCGCATCTGCGCACAAATTGAGCGTTTGCATTTTGTCATACTTTTTTTAATTTAAAAAAAAACGTGATACCTCCCTTATTTTAAATTGAAGAGGGATTTAATTTTATAACAGATGATGTATGCTAATTTGGAACAAAAACATGTGAGACGTAAATTATATTTAAAAAGAACCACGAAAGGAAAAAGAAAACCAATTCGCGTTTTTTTAAAATGGTTTTTTATCGCTTAAACAGTAATTTGACCAATTTCCGCGATACCACTCGAAATGCTTTAGTTGCGTTTACAACACAGCGTTTAAACGCTACAATTTTCGCGCACTAAAACACCTAATTCCTTATGGAAAAAAAGAGGATACATTTTTTTTTCACCCATTTTTTAAATTTCCATAATATTGATTATTATCATTTTTTTTATAATAAAAAATAATAATAAATTTCTGGAGAAAATTGGGAATCTAACCTTGACCTTAGTTTTTGGAGACTTTGGAAAATTAACCATATTTGCTGTTTTCCCAAAATAAAACATTTTACTACACACTAATATGCTCCGTGTTAGTAGTGTTCTATAGCCTTAAAACAGCACCATCAGCTAGTGATGTTTAAAAAAAAACTTTGATTTAGATGGGTTTTTTAAAAAAAAGAAAAAGAATAGCAAAATCACGATTTTTAGCTTAGAAAATATTACCGAAACCTCGAGATTTGGCCAAAAAAAGGGTCAAACTTTTTTGCCATGTTTTTGACGAAATTACGTTGGTTAGGTAATTATTTGCCTAAAATCTTGATTTAGCCGTTTTCTTAGTTAGTGCGAATTCGCGGCGAATTATACTAAATATGTTTTATTTTTGTACTCTTCACGAACTGTGAATGAGAGGTTAGGATGCATACACAAGTAGCACGCATTCGTTAGGAAGTATACAAAATTATTTTAATATACTTCAACACGAATTCGCGCTAACTTTGAATGCAGGGTAAATCAATGGTTTTATTTAACAATAATTATTATCAGCAAAAAACAAAATGATAGTGCATAATAAAATTTTTTTTATTTAATATTGTTTATCCAAGCTAAATTAGCATGTTTATATTTTTTTATAACAGACAATTGGAAAAAAAATGAATTCCCATTCGAAAAGCTTCCTTTTGGAAAATGGGAATTATACATACCTCCATTGGCAGATGGAACTTTACCAATTAAACATAAATCAGCTTTAAAAGTGATATTTAGCAATACTTTAAAAATTCCTATCTTATTTTGTAACAATATTATAAATGTCGTAATTTTTTTTCTTTCAGGATTCGTTGATAATATCCAGCACCTATATTTTAATAAAATCTGGGATCCCGTAATTTACAAAATAAATATTTTCTAATAAATTATTATAAAAATTTGTCTGAATATTAATTTGCATGTTTTTAATTATAATTATCTTTTGTGCCACTAATCTGAACGAATCTAGGAAAATAATTCCCCTAAGAAAAAATCCCCTTTTATTAAGATATTAAAAGTTACAAAATTAATAAAATAGGAGAAAAAATTCCCTATAAATATATCCACGGAATAAAAATCTTCAAATAAAATGTTGAAAAATTTAAAATCAATTCCGGGGAATTATTTTCTAATTTTTTTCCGCCTACCAATCTGAACGCCGTACCAACTAAGTTCCTTCTGTAGGCTCTTATTTTATGTCTAACGTCACCCTATATAAACAATTTTTGTTATAAATCTTATATTTAAGTTGGTTGTAGAAGATCACCATGGTCATATGCTAGATAGACTCAGTCCTTGGGCCACTTACGTTAAACCGCCTTCTAATTCAATCGTATTCGAACAAGTCTTCTGGAATCCGCCTGAAAATCAAGTATTTTAATTAATTTTTTTTTGCAACTACGTTTAGCATATTAAATTTTCCATTTTTTTTTATTCCATCAATCCGGAATCCATAAAGGTTTAATAAATCTATAAACAAATTTTTTTTAAAAATATCATTAAGTTTTGTAATACGGTAGTATTGGTTTGGAAATTATTTCCATTTTTTATAAAATTGTGTAACTTGCCTTTATTATTGTAAACATTGATAAAATTCAACAAAAAAAATTTCCGGGCAAATTAAACAATTTTATGAGAAAGTTGTTACATATATTATGAAATGACTTACAACAAATCAATGTAATTTCTTACACATAATAGATATTTATTAGATAATGAAAAATGTAATATAGTGGCTCTAATACTCTTCACATTCTAAATAACATTCTTTATTCCTCCAAATTTCCACTCCACATAATACATAAAACTACATTCAAAATGATAAAATAAAACTGTCATAATTTCATGTGAATAAAATGATACCTTTTCAAAATTATGACCAAACATCCATAAATTCCAATCACTGAATGGTTAGAAGCAGGGATTCGAACCGAACCCGAACCCGGATAAGTGAACCCGGGTTTTTAGAAAAAAACTCTGAACCCGAACCGAACCTGAACCCCATTTATAAAATTTCCAAAACCCCGAACCGAACCCAAGAATTTTATTTGAACCCGGGTTCAATCGGGTTCAGTGTATTATTTAAAATCATATATTAATATATGTAAATACAAATATTATATTTTCAAATTTCCAATTAAATGAAGTCTTAATAAATTTTAAACAATTTAATTCATTTATGCCATTTTTAAATTTATTCTCGATTCCTATTGGAGTGTTAAAAAATTTTAAACAATTGAATTAATTTACGCCATTTATTTTTAAATTTTTATCTTATTATTCTTAAAGATTATTAATTAGAAGAAAATGGTTAACAAATCAAAGTAAAAATTATTATATTGTTAATTTAAAAAATTCTAAACATCTAACTTAAAAATTGTTAAATGTAGGGCAGTTTTTGTGAACTTATTAAAATGATTTTAAAATTTATATATGCTAATCATTTATTTTTGGTTTAGTTTAATTTTTACAAGATATTAATGAAGTGCATATTATAAATGAAATTAAATTTATAAATATCTCTTTTTTAATTCTGAAGTCATTGCTATTTAAAAAAATTGTTCTCTTTTTATAGATTTAAGATTAAAGATAAAGTCATATTTGATAAACATTTTACCCTTAATAAAATAGAAAAAAAAATCAATATGTTTCTATTGCAAAGTAAAAATGTCTGGTAATCACTTGTCAAATTTAGAAAGACACCTGGAAAGAAATCACAACAATGAATATTTAAATTATTTAAATGAAAAAACCAAATATCAGGAATTGTTATTGGCAAAAAAACCTAAAATTAATATAGAAACCTTTTTTCCAAAAAAGCATATAAGTATAAATATATCATCTAATGATTTGATGAGTTCTATACTAGAACTTGTTACTGTAAATGGCCGGCCTTTATCAATTATTGAAGATTCGGGATTTCAAAGAATTATAAATCCACTCCTATCTGGGCTCAATTTAGTTATAAACAAAGAAAATTTATCCAGAACTATTAATAAAACAGCCCAATCAATTAGAGACAAAATATCGAGAGAGGTAGAAGGAAAATTAATAAGTTTAAAAGTTGATGCAGTTCAACGACTAGATAGGTCAATTCTTGGTGTAAATATTCAATTTATATCAAAGTCCATTATAAATTTGAGGACTCTTGGAATTGTAGAGCTGAAAGAGAGATGTACAGGAGAATATATAAAAGAGAATATATTAAAAACTTTACTAAAATTTAAAATTAATATTCAACAAATATACACAATTACTTCTGATAATGGTTGTAATTTTTTAAGAGCTATAAAGCTCCTGCAACCTGAAACTGATTATGATATAAGGAGTGAATCAGCAGATGAGGAAAATATGGATGTAAATGTATATAAATATGATATTGATGATATACAAAATACTTTTTTATCAACTATTATATCCTATCCGATTTATAGTGTACGGTGTGCACACACTTCAGCTGGCACTTCAAGATGCTATAAAATTATCACCTATTGTGGAAACCTGCAAAAGCTAGGAGCCTAAATTTAAAATTAAGACATCCCACTTACCAAAAGTTATTAAAAAATATGAAACTCCCTAAGCCTGTGTTAGATTGCCACAGATGGCATTCAACCCATGATATGTTAGAAAGGCTGATTTTACTAAAACCCAATATGGAAGATTTTTTTACAGAGCAATCTGATTATTTATTGACTGAAGATTGGAAAGAAATAATAACGATTGTTGAAATTTTAAAACCGCTAAAAATCGCAACCAAACAATTCCAATCTGAACAGTTAACACTGACAGATTTTTATGCAGCATGGTTAAGATGCTGCATCGAACTGGAAAAAAATCCAAACCATTTTGCTCAATTACTATATTCTTGTCTTAAGAACAGAGAAGAAAGGTTTATAAAGAACGAAATTCTCTTAGCTGCCATATACCTGGGCCCAAGATACAAGGTTAATTAAAAGCTTAGTAAATTAATTATTTTAGATTTATATTAAAATTGTTATTTTATGAAATATTTAAATATAAACAATATAAATCCTTAAATATTACAGGTATTACTTAGTGATGATGATAAGATTTGTGCGAAAAAACATCTTGTCAATTTATGGAGACGAATTAAAAGCTTAACAACGCCAATTTTATCTGATGATATTAGTTCCGATGAAGTTATTGAACAAGAAGATGATTTAGAGAAATTGATACAACTTAAAGAAAGGAAGGAGAAAATACTTAAAAGAGGGCCAACGATTGCTGAGAAAAGTATTGGAACAATAATTACTGGATTTAGCGATTATATAAGATTAGATAAGAAGGAAAATATTTTGCATTTTTGGGAGTCTGCTAACTGGAACACCCTGAATTATATATTTTATCTATAATCTTATTTGCTGTTCCTGCAACCCAAGTTAATTTTTCATATTTTCACATATAAATACATTTAACATAGGTTAGCGAAAGATCTTTTTCACATTTGAAATTCATTCTTTCACCACATAGATCGAGGATGAGTGAACAACTCTTGGAAGATATTATGCTAATACGTCTAAATAAAATTTTTAAAATTGATACATGACTATATTCTTTGTATTTTTAACTATATTTGCCTATAAATAAAATAAAAAATTTATTTTTTATATCAAATTTATGTCTAGTTTTTTATTATAATTTAAATATAGAATTTTTTTTTATCAACTTAAAAATTCTTGAACCCGAACCAAACCCAAACCAAACCCGGGTTCAATATTTCCCTGAACCGAACCCGAACCGAACCCAACTCTTTTTTTTATACCCCGAACCGAACCCGAACCGAACCCGGTCTAAAATTTTGTCGGGTTCGCATCCCTGG